TATATATATATATATATATATATATATATATATATATAGTAAACTTATTTTAAAATCATTTTTATATTTCTTATTTTAAAAGTTTATAAGACAATATTAATTACTACTTTGTTAATCAAAGGTCATTAATATAAGTGGTTCCGTACTCTTTAATCAAAGATAGAAGTAAGATTTTTAATTTGAACGTGACATCATAGTAACTTAAGTATGAAGTTAAAAAAGATCAACCCAATAAAAAAAAGTTATACCTCTTTATCAAATGAAAATTTACTACTTTGTTAATTAAGGGCTGCATGTTGTATGTATTTGTTTGGGTCTTTATATGGACACATCTCGTGCTTAAATCAAAGACATTTTCTTAATTAATGTAATTATTTTGCTTATAAAAAAGTTTAATTATATTTTTAGTCCTTCAATTTGATATATATTTTTTAATTTTCTCAAATTAAAAATTTATGTTTTTAGTTTTAAAAATATCAAAATTATTATTTTGATTCCTCAAATTTAAAATTATTATTTTAGTCGCTATAATTTTAAGAAATATTATTTTAATCACTAATATCATAATTGGTAGTGACAGATTGAGAGAAAATAAAACTTTTTTTTATATATATTTTAGGAACTTCAAAGCATAAATTTTATATTTAAAGAACTAAAAAATATTTCATTAAAATTTAGGGACTAAAAATATAAGTTTTAAATTTAAAAGACAAAAAAATAAATATCCCAAATTTAAAAAACTAAAAACATGTTTAAACCTTAAAAATATTTTTTTACCATCAGTTTATTTATTTATTTTAATCATTTTACACATTTATCATATAAAATGAAAGAAGAAAATGATAAATAACAAATTAATTAATAAAATAAATAGAGGGAATAATAAAAAATAGATAATAGTTCTAATGAAAATAAAAATATTAATTATAATTTTTTTTATTTTTGTATTGCATTCTAAAAAAATACTTAAAAAGAAATGGTGATTATATTTATACAGTACTAGGTTAAGAATATATGTGGATGCAAAACAAATCACAAGGGGAAGTTGTGGGTTAATATATCAGATTCTTCATCAGCAACGTAACAGAGGAATATAGAGTTACATCATCAGAATAAAAAACTGTTTTGCTAGCTAATTACGAAGAATATTCTAACAACATATAACAAATCAGCCTTGGAAATTAAATTTAGCATAGCAATATGTTTTTTATGTGTGTCAACTCTCAATTAGTATCTTTGCATTTTCTTACATATCTACTATGTCTATGTGTAACTATTATTAACAAAGCTTCATTTTTATATATAAAATGTATTATTATTTTTTTTAATTTCACGATACTTTATTTAAATCTTGACAGCAATCTATGCCTAATTTTTTTTTATGTTGGGATATCCATGTATGTTTTCTCAGAAGCCCTTTAGAAAGAAGTACGGTAACTAAAAGTAGCTACAGTTATTGTCTAAATTAAGTTTAGTGCTTTGAATTTAAATGATCTGATCTGGTTTTAAACGTACTATAATTTTCAATGGAGTCCGAATTTGGTTAAACAGTATACGCAAATTATTGTAATTCTTAATATACCAAATCTGATTCCTATAAATAAAAGATAAAAAAAAATACTCCTAACTCTTCAACCTTCATGAAAAGTAGCTCAAAACTTTGTAATCTGTACTTATCTATATATTGTCTCGGAGATCATGCAAATATAATAGTGGGGAGCATAACAATCCACCAAAAGAAAGCAAAAGAAACCTAGAAATTGACTAAACATGATTTATTTTGCTTTGTTGACGAAAATAGCAAAGGAGTTGAAATGGTGGACCAAGAGAAAACGATTAAAGTAAAATTGTAAACCACAAATCAAAGTAAAATTATATGTTATTGGGAGAAATATTAATTTAGTTATTTTAAGTAAAGTTTTGAGTTTGAATTATATATATATATATATATATATATATATAT